GTACTGCACGCTTTATTAGAACCCCCCTTTGGTTCCGACGATGACGTACCAACAGTTTCGGTTATTGGAATTAGCAACTGGAGATTGGATAATAGTAAATCTAGTAGAGCATTATTGGTTCAGCGCCCTCTCTTTACTGAAAATGACCTGGTTGATACTGCAAGACGTATGCTTGGTCACATCAAGGATTTCAATAATGTTGACATCAGTTATTTTTTGAGGAGACTCGCGGATTCATACCTTCGCTACATAAATAATCAGAAATACTCTAATTTTCATGGTAATCTAAACTCTATAATTTTAGCAACAACCATTACACTTTTCTAATCTATTTTCTTATTTCGACTCCAGGACTTCGAGATTATTATTCTCTCGTAAAAAGCATAAGAAATATGAACACCAAGAAGGTATGCAAATATCCTTATATAGTAAATAATAGATGCCTCATAATTAACTTTTAGCCTTCTTTAGCCAAATATCCAACTAGCGCTAGCTCGAAATTTTGGAGGAACTGATCAAATGGAAGATTTGTGTTGTCTCTACTTTCAACAAGTCTTGAAGCCGCAGCATATACAAAAATTCACTTATAACCCGATACCGGTTCAAGATCTTATCAATGCAAATCTCGCCGAAAAGGGCGCTCGAAACCTCATGCTTATCGGCAATAGTAATTCTATCGTCACCCTTCAAGCATATAAGCTTCGTCAACAAAATATCGAACCGATTGTGATCATTGGATCACAATTCCCTGATGATAGGGATGGCGGAGAGTATTCATATGCTACTCTTAACCGCATAATGGTATGATACAAGTGTTATATTTTAAAAGGTGATTAAGAAAAATTAAACGAATAAATTTTATCCTCAACAAAGATGTGCGTGGAGACAGGCAGACGTCTGATATTAACAGACCTTGAAATTATTTATGGTATGAAATCCCTTTTCATCCTGCATTGACATTATCCTTCCCATTTAAAAATAAACTGTTCTTGTGTAGGTTCTCTTTATGATCTGTTCAATCAGAATTTCCTGACAGACGAAAATTCTGTCGACGAGGAGGATGGTGATTTGAGTGATAAAAATGAAAAAAGATACTACACAAGAATTAGCCTGGGCCCATATTCTAATCCAATGTTATATGGTAATTGTTTTTGAATTTCTATAAAATAACGAAATACTTCTTTATAACATTATATTTAAATGTTTCTTTATATAGTTCATCCGGACTTCAGGTATATTTCCTTTTGTTCATTTGTTATAATTGTCACATCAATTAATGTTTTCTTATCTCTCTTACTCCTCACCGAAATTTATAGATGCATTTTAGTGTTAGATGAGGCAAAACTTCCATTTTCCGATCCACCCCTCCTGAACCGCTTTGAAAAACAAAAAATAACCCTCGAGGAAACTCTAAATGAACGCGAATTAAATATCCTTAACATCCTAAAAGAGTGGGCACGTCAAATTTCGACCATTTATGAAGCGAATGAAACCGAATCTAACAACCATTTCAGTGAAAAAGATTTGTTTATTGGATTCACACCGGAAGAGACGCTGCAAAGTCTTATCGTGGATCAGTGCGGAAAAAACCCCGATTCCAATGATGACACGATCATTCATTCCTGTAAAGAAGCCTTAATTTCAATCGCCACTTCCGATGGAGTTGTAAGAGCCGAAAAATCTATTTTAAAATTTAGTGATGCTCAAGATGTAAAGAACTGGCAAGATGTATATTTCGGGAAGCAACAACACGGCAGTATTAGAGAATTTTATCGCACGCTACTAGACAACAACAGTCCCCTGACAAGCAACTTAACAATCATAAATACTTTTTCTAATATTAACACTAATATCAAGTCATCCCTAAAAAATGTCATCGACTGTCAAGTCGATAAACAATCAACTTTCAAGTCCGAAGCTGAACTGCAAAATCAGATTAAACGTTTTTACGAGTCTGAAAATGATTTGTATATTCTGCAATGTGATCTTTCAACTGTGAGCGCGGGGTGCATTAGACTGGCGAAATTTATAATCGAACAGTTTAGAAATGAACTTTCAGATGACAGCAAATCAGTAAAGCACGCGTGCATAATTCTTCATTTTAATAGGAAACATGATAAAGAAAAAACAAATCTATTTAATTTCATGTGCGGCTGGAATCAGGTTACCATTGAAGACTTGGATACGTCAGAAAGCTCACTTTCTCGATTTCTTCATTCGACGATTGGCGAAATTTTAAACGAAAGATTTGAACAGATTTTAAGTCAAGAACTTCTATGGTGCTTGCTTTGCATGAAGCATCCTTCTTCAAGAAAGTCGGTGGAGCACATCAGGTTGATGTAACTCCCATCACGTACATGTATTTTTTTTCTCGTCTGTTATCTAACAACTAAAATGTTTATTATCTTTAGACAATTGGTACAAGAGATTCCAAAGTGCACAAAACTGGTCGAATGTTTGAGATTGCGTACAAATGATTGGTTATGCGTCAATTCTTCAGATCAATGGCAGTTGGACATAGCCTTAGATCAAAAGTCATTAATATTACACTCGTCCTTTTCCGTGGCTCTAGAGATGTACGTGAATACCTTAATTCGAAAACCAATTGCCAAATTGCTTTATGTCCTGGAACGCCATCATGCAATCATGCTTTTTTTTTCATGGGACCAAGATAATGATGAAAATGATTTGTTCACATTTTGGAAACATATTTTCATGAACAAAAAGATTGTAAACATCGACGATATGATTATGGATCCACGGCCAGACCTGTACACTATCTCGGGCAATTATTTGAATCTTAAGTTCCCTTTCTCTCATTACTTTATGGAACAAATAGACCAATATAAGAAACTTTATCATGAAGAACTAGACCTCATGTACGAAAAACCCGAAAATTTGGACGATGATGAAAATCTAAGCCCAGAGATTTTGACTCAATTTCACGGGAGGTTTGTTGAGACCATCCGTGCAACGATCACCATATTGACCTCAGAAATCGTACAACTTGCGGGAAACTTGTACTTAGATGATTTCGTTATAATTTCCTCCACAAATGCGGGATATTCGCAAGAGTCTGACGTCAAACTATTACATTTTCTTTTAAGCCGCTCGTGTGATGCAGAGGTGTTGAACGATCCAATTAGGTTACACATATATTGGTGGAAAAATTCCGATGCCCTTATCTCTGAATTAGAATTGGCTCGAATATGCCCTTCAGTCATAGAACTTGATAATGAAGACCACGAAAAGGATAATCGCTTTGGGACTTATTTAATAGACAATGTATGTAGAATAATGATTGAGAAGCTTATTAAACTGGGAACTCCAAAAGATGACAAGAATGAAGTTTCGGATGATAACGTTAATGAAACTGCAAATGATGAGGAAGTTGCGGACGATAGCGTTAATGAAACCGCGAACGATAATGAAGAAGTTGAAAATGATACCAATAGTGAATTCGCAAGCGAAAATAATAATGAACCCACAAACAATGACAATAATGATGAAAATAATGGAGACATGAAAGAGGTCGATGTCATAACTTTTCTTCATGAATGGCGACGTCAAGTTGTTAGCATCCTATCATTATGTGCCAACATTGAAGGTTCCTCGGAGTCAATACTTCTGCAATTTTTACGTATATGCAATGATCTGATCTCCTCCGAGTCGATCGGTCTTTCGGATATCGTCAAAGCCCTCAATCTCACAAAAGAAATTGATTCTGAGAACATTCTTTCGCGAGAATTCGTCGATTATATTTTAGAGCTTTTAACCAAAATCACTGTTACGGAGAAAACTATCACTTCACATTGCTCATTCCTTCGACGATGTCTGGATATTGTTCCGCTCGGTTCACCAGTACGTTCCCACCTTTATGAAATACTTTTCAAACAAGAACCACGTCCGCTTTTCGGCTCCGTCTTATCACGCGCTCTGATGCCTGAAGAAGAATCGATTCCTCTGTTATTCCAAAACACGCCAGCAACTTTAATTCGCTATCCTAATCTAAATGCTACCAACAATGCTCTCAAGAGCAATGAGGTTGATGCCCCAATTTACGCTTTATGTTGTGACGTATTACAATATAATTTCTTTGCTTCGTACACATTTAAGGAATTAGCTGATGGCTTTCGAGATGCGATTGATATTTTATGCAGCGCAAATTTCGAACCCCTACAATTAGTTCTATCCGTTGCCTTGCTCAAAGAATTCGTAAATGTTCTTTGGAGATCATTAGCATCGATTAAAGATACCGTGACAGAACCTTTAGAGTTTGATGAACCATTTGATGATATTGATGTTGAGATGATAATTGATATGATTAATCAAGCTATGGAGCGTCCGTCGCCCTTCATTCGCTCATTAAGATTATACTTTCTTCGTGATCTGTATGCCAAAGGGCTTTCACTATTTGAAATCAAATGTTTTTGTGGAGTGCAGTACAGGACATTTTCGTGGTTAAAAGATTTCGAGTGGAGTGATGAAGACAACAGAATAGGCTTTATACCTTACCGCTCTTATACCCATTACAATGAGGCGGAAGAGGCATTCACTCCATTACTTGAACGCGGGCAACAAACTCAAGCTATGAATTTTCTAAATCGAGTTTCAAACGATGCATCAATGAATCTAAAGATGTCTTTAATGGGTGTTGTGATCTCTCGCCTATACATCATACGCTCCTTGCGCGAGCTGCGTCCAAATGAAGTGAATGCAATTAAATGGCTACGTACTCAATCGAATAACATAGAATTTGACAACTTTTATCGAGAAACATTGTTGAATATTACCGGGAACGAACATAAGCTTTATAGTGTTTCCCCAGAAACAAGCCAGACAGAGTTACTAATTCGATCGGTTATTGCTCATATTATTGCTCTTCATTCCTGTCTTCCGGCAACGAATTCTCCGTTAGCTGCATATATGCAAACTCTGAAGGCGTGCAAGGATACTTATATATTGACATCTTGCGCAGACATTGATGCGAACATCCTTATTGAAATCGGAGCGGCTCTTGGTCAATTTACGCGGTACGTTATTTTTTAAATTTACAAAATTTTGATCAATTGATTTGATCTTTTAAACTAAACGTTCTTAAATAGCTACGAGTGTGAATGTGGTTTTAAATATATCGTTACTGAATGTGGTGGCACGCGAGAGGAAGGCACCTGTCCTAGATGTAATAGCCGCATTGGAGGATTAAATTATCAGGTCAATCCTGGCAACAAGCGTATAGACACTGCAGCGATTCACGGAAACGAGGAGACGGAAGTAAAATTAGGATATATATATGAATCTATCGAAAGCAGAAAGGACTCCAACTTCCGCCTTAGAAATCTGACGCCAGTATCTTTCCGCATATTGCATCTTTTCGTGCATGTGCTTATCGCCGCCAATTCACAAGAAGATTGCGGAGATTTTTTAAATAGTCAACAAGGCCAAGAAATTATTCAAGAACCTTTGGATTATTGCAAGCGGCATATAGAAAACGATTGGAATATATTAACGCGTTTGTTCGATTGTAACGACGAAACATTGGCATTAGTATTACATTCTATTCTTTCATTAATGGCAGAAAATCCAATTACAACAATAGCCAGATTGGACACCGTAGAAAATAGAAGACTTTGGGAACACGAATTCACTCAACGTTACATAACTCCAAAAGTATCCAACGTTCATGGGACCGCAGCAGAATTCAAAGAACGAGTAAAGAATGTTGAGCACAGGCTCGAAAGTGAAATTGATGAGACGATGGAGGTTACCGAAGAATATCGGCTTAAATTTCATCCAAGAATATGGCGAAGAGTAGTCGAAACAAGTCTTGAAAGTTTTCGGGCTTACTGTATAGGACATCAAAATTTTGCAACCGAGTTTCCGTTTTTATCTCTGTTCCTTGAATATCAAGGTCAAGTGTCATTATTAAGTAATCTCGCGCCAATCGTGAAATTCGCGCGGATTCTTTCTTCAAAATTAAGTTATCGTTTGAAAAGGGCTGATTCCCGTATCCTTACGTTCGATCAGTTTCTAAAAAGCGAAGCCCAATCTACCGAAAACCTTAAAGAAACTTTCGAAAATTTTGTTGCTGCATGGAACTCTGTTAGAGAGCACATTACAAGATATGAATGCCATGAGTTTGCCAGCCCAATGCCTGAAATGGCCGGAAATCTTCCGTTAATATATGCGCTGATTGATTTGAGAGATGAATCATTATATATATGTGGAGCTATAGATTATCTGGTGAATTTACAAAATAACTTTTTACAACAAGTCTTAACCATTGAACCTGGCTGTGCTTCGCTAAGATTTTTGGAGCAGGGGCAACTTTCAAATAGCAATAACACCATGAATCAGGGTCAATATTATATAGAAACAATGTCGCTTTCGGAAGCCCGCGATATCCATTTGATGAACTACGAATGGAATCCTCGATTGCTTACCTACAGCCAACGAGATCTTAAACTTGGTCATGGACAAGAAATGCAATACGAATTATATAAAATTGAAGCGGAGTTAGCACATTCTTTGATATTCAACAAAGTCCACCTAAATAAAAGCAATGAACGATTCTGGCTAGACATATTTTCGTATCATCTTGAACTATTTTCAAGCTCTCGAACAATAATTAGCGAAATCAAAGAATTAATTCCCCAGGAGATGGTTCCTACTGAAAAACTTGGATCTTTTGTCGTAACCACATCCTCACCTACGAAAATAGGAACCAACGTTACTTTGGTTTTCGAAAATCCTACTGAACTCTTATCAGAATTCGAAGTTCTGCTTTGTTTTTTGAAAAGAACTTCGGGCGGAGATCGCGATATAAAAATCACCGATTATCTCGACAAATGGGTAAGGCTGTCGGCGTTAAAGGAGAATGATCAGTTCTATCGAATAATTAATGGATTAAAATTGAAACATGTGGTATCATTATACGAATTGGTGGAAGAGAAGGTGGCAGATGTGGAAATAGAGTTTCTCCCAGAAAAATATAAAGCCAAACTAGGAAAACCATTACAAGATGAAATTACTGCCGGTGTTGATTTTGAACAATCGCACGGTATTGGTGGGAGTAATAATAGAAAACTTAGAATTCCGCACGATGCATTCGCTATTGCGTTGAAAAGATTCATGTTCCGTTATTTATCATCCGAAATGTTTTCCGAAAAAGAAAAACTTTCAGATTATCTGGCCGGAGAGACAATAATTGACTGCTGGCAATCTTTTGTGTCAGAAGATGTTATTCGTGATAAATTTCCGAAATCTTTATTGATTGCGAATATTTATGAAGCGTACCGATATACAATAAAACAAATACAGGTAAGAACATTCATTGTCTCTCGATGAAGAATACTTTGTTATTGCTTTCTGATCACTGTGACCTAAAACTCATTTTTAATATCTAGGAGATGAATAAAGCAAATTCTCAAAACAAAACCAACAAGGGTGCTAGTAGCAGTAACAGCAAACAGAATGATATTTCCGCCAAACCAGCGGGTAGAGGAAAGAAAAGCACACGTAAGCTTAAAGAAGTATTTTAGTACCACAAATACGTAACTCAGTCGTTAAGAAAATTAGTAAACGTAGTAATTCAATCAAGTTCATGTTCAATTTAATAAATTTATAAATAAAAAATCGATTACGTTTTTTTTTTTATTTTACTGTACGTACTGCGTATATTGTACCGTGTTACGTGATAAGTTCTAAATACAGTAATTAAAGTTGCAAAACACAATCGACGTAATCCTCCATTGAAGGAAAATTTGGTTAAGATGTTGCTGTGTGAATTTCCCTGGTTGGCTTGATCGCCATATTTCGTCATACGTTTCACGTCTTAACGGCTGATACGTATGGTACGAGCAAATCGTTATTTAATGCATAAATATCTTCTTAAACATGAAAGTTAGCATGTTCAATGGTGGAAAAGTGCTTTCCTAATTTTAAAATTTTAGAAGCATAATGACATCTCAAAAAGGTTCTCCCGAATCGCAGTCATCTGAAGAATTAGAGTATCGTCGTTTACAGTATGGAGAATGCGAATGGTGCAAGCAGGCGAAAACCGATTATACGTGGTGCAGGGAATGTAATGCCAAACACTTCCAAAAACTCGTGTGGGAAAGTGGCAGTAATGTGATTGACAATTTTATTCGAAAAATCCAGACTAGAGCAATTAATCATCACAAAGTGTTGGAATGGGTTCCCTATCAAAATTTTACAGATGTGCAATATCTTGCTCAAGGTGGTTACGGAAAGGTATTCAAATCCAAGTGGATAGGCGGTTTTATTTGTTATTATAACGACAAAACTCAACAATGGCAAAGGAGTGGTGATATCGATGTTGTTCTTAAAAGTCTAAATGGTTCAAATATAAATATATCAAAAGAATTCTTAGACGAGGTATTTATTCTAAGACTCGTTTATATCTAAATGTTTTTAATTGATTAATAGGTGTTATTATTTTGTCATCAGATTGACCTTCAAATGAGATCGCATTACGTCCTTGGTAATACAATCGAATGCTACGGGATAACAAAAGATCCAAAAACTGGAGATTTTATGATGATTATGGATTATAAGGAAGATGGCAGTCTTCGCGATTTCTTGAAAGAAAAATTTCCGAGCTTAAGATGGACGCAAAAATTAGAAATCTTGTTTACAGCAGCCAAAGGTCTTTCTGACATTCATAATGCAGGATTAATTCATAAAGATTTTCATTCAGGAAACATTGTCCTTTCGGATCTGACCTCTTTTATTACGGACTTTGGATTTTGCAAACCGGCTAACTATAATTCACCAGAAGCAGAAGGCAACAAGATTTTTGGTGTATTGCCATATATTGCACCAGAAATTCTATATGGAAAAAAGTATACACAAGCAACAGACATATATTCTTTTGGTGTCATCATGAATGAAGTAGCATCTGGACGTCCACCATATTCCGATACCCGTCATGATGACACCAATCTTGTATTGGAAATTATACAAGGTCTCCGTCCGACAATCAATAATAGCATGACTCCAAAGTTAATCTCCGATTTAATCAGAAGATGTTGGGATGAAAAACCCGAAAATCGACCAAATGTCGGGAAGTTACATGATTATCTTTGGAATTGGTATTGCCAATCAAAATCAAAAAGAAATAGCGAAATACGGGACCAAATTGACAAAATTGAAAAAACTCTGGATTATGAAAAATTTTCAGCAACCACATCATTCAGCAACAGCTCCTCTTCAGCTTACATCCTACGTTCGGATACGAGCCTTAAAAGTAAACTATTTGATATTACAGACATTATTAAAACTGTGAGAATATCTCGTTTTGAATCCGTATCAGGTATAAAATTATTATTTTAATTAATCCATAAAATGTTCTCTGTATGATTACTCAATTTCACTTTATTATATTTTAGATACTGGTCTGATTAATCTTGTGATAACAGACGATACCATGTAAAAATAGAATTCTTCGAAATTCTGACTCCTATTTTGAAATTCCTAACAAATTCAGATTTTTTGAAGGTTGACGGTAATGTCATTTAGATAGTAAAATGTAGTACTGAACTGAATGATTTTCTCCTCTAGGTCTTTCATGTTTTGTATCATAAATATAGTATAATTTATGTAGGCACCTATTAATATATTGATTTTGAAATTGCTGGGTATGCCAATTTGTGATTTATTACTGCGGATGGTATGTTCTTTAAGTTTATTAATAGCAGTGATGAGTGGATTATAGCATAATCTCCATAAGAGTTGAGAGATAGTGTCTTCTTGATCTATTTTTTCTTTAATTGGGTGTTCTTTAATGTTTCTGAAGTAGATGATAACAGTGTTGTAACAATTTATGAAGCATTTGTTTATTATATTGATTAATTTTCTGGAGATTATTATTCTCTTCATTGTTGTGCACATCCGATTGAGATTGACTATACCATATACTTTACTTATATCTTGAAAAGCCATATTGTATGATTTTTATTACTCTTTAGCATCTTCAAAGGCTTGATTGATAATTTAATGGGTTCTTTGATGTGTATCTTGTTCAATTGTGTTCTGATGAGATGAATAATGACTCAATTAATTTCGTTTGATGATATTTTTGAAGAATTTTTTTATTGAAGGGAGTAATGTGTGATATTTATGTCATATTTACATTCCTTGAGTTTGGGTATTGGGTATATAGTACTTTGTTTCCATTTATATGATAACATTGAAATTATTAAATTGAAAAGCCGAGTTATTTATTCTAACACTCTTAAGTATTTGTAGTCTATAAAATCAAAATCTGTTTTGTTTTCTAGTACATTAATTATGTCTTTAAGTTTTTTTTTGTATTATGGTAATATAGTTGAGTTATATTACCTTTTTTAACTTTTGCTTCAGGCCAATATTCTTTGTTTTCAGATTATACTTTTGTACCTATAAGTGTAGTTCTTTTTTATCCAATTTTGAAATTTTTTTTTATTTTTTTTAAAATTTTTATTGATTTAGAGATGAATATTTTAAACTTTATTTTATTAACTAATTGGACAAATAATTGTAATACTTTTTTGAAATATATTAAGAATTAATCTTATTAGCACCTTTTTATTTATTTATATTGATTATTTATTTTAATATTGCATTTTTCAATATTAACTTATTAAATTGAAATTGTTTAATTTTTTTTTATATAAATATAAAAATATCTATTATTGCTAAAATTTATTTTATATTCTATAATTTTGTTTAAAAACAATAATAAATATCATAATAATTTAATATAATAGTTTGATTTTTCGAAATATTATGCTTTTTTATTTTATTTTAACTTTAATTTTTCCACTTATAATATTTGCTGGTTAATTTTAAAAAATCTATTTATAAAAAGTATTTTTCTAGTTATTTATAGTATGGAAAGTTCAAATCTGAAAAAATATTAATAATATTTAATTGGTTATATATAAATTTAATTAAAATTTATTGAAATATTATAAAAATTTAAAATATTATTCATAAGAACAAATGAATAAAAAATATATAATTTTTAAATAAATATTTGCTGTATAAAAAAAAACCTTTTAAGTTTATAAAAGAAGATAAAAAAAAACTCTTTCCACTAATCCTTCTTTTTTCAAAAAAAAATTTTTTTTTTGATAAATTTCTTGGAAAAAGTGAATCAGTTCGAACACACAAGAAAAAACAACATTTTCTTTAAATCAAACTATCAAGTACTTTTAACATATGTATAATAAGCTATCCAGAAACATCAAAAAAAGAGGTATACACTACTTTACTAATTTTTTTTTATTTCTTTTTCTTAAAAAATTTTTAGGAAAAAGAAAAAAAATTTATAAACTAATTCACAGTCATTAAAAGAGAACTAATATTAACTTTACACAGCTTATAGCCTGGTCAGTACAAGTTAATATCTTTCTTGATACTGTAAAGAATTCAAGAAGCAACTAAGTTTACTTGATATATCAAGTTGCTTCAGTTACTCAAAAGCCCAGAAGGATATCATAGCTTCCTAAAGACAAGATAGTCTAAATATACATATACATATAAATAGCATATCTATCACCTATTTTGTCTATAAATATAAATACATAAAACATAAACAAGCAAAACAAGTAAATACATAAAAATGATAATTAAAATAAAAACACACATATATATAACTTCTTATTCAAATAAGTTGATTGATACTGTACATACTATAAATATGACAGCAACTCTTAAAATTAGAATAATATTATCAATATAAATAAATAAATATTTCAAAGCAATAAACAAGATTTTTCTGTATTATCTGATAGAAATACATAAATAACAACAATCTTAGAAAGATTTATACATGATCTAAAAATAGATTATTATTAATTATAAATAAGCATTCATATAAATGATCAAAAAAAAAACTTTTCTCACTCCTAACAAAATTTGTAAAAATTTCTTTTTATGGTAACAACTCAAAATATATAAAAAAAAACCTAATGTTCTTAAAAAATCTCTACAACAAACATGTTTAGAAGGTTCCTAGAGTCAAAGACATAACTGTAAACTACATCAGCTAGAGAATCATCACCATAGTAAAAAAATCGCAAAACCACTCATGAAGATTAAACTGTCAAGCAAATTAAATCCATTCACCAGTATCAAGAAAAATAAAATAGCAATGAAGAAAAAAAAAAGTTGCAATCTCTTAAGACACATGGGACCCTACTCAAGACCAAAAAGAAAGTATGAAGCTCGAGAATATAGAATGTAACAATAGTACAACTCTGAAAAGAATATCATAGAAATCATTGATGCAGCAAAAAAGATAAATATAGAGTCAAGACCACTATCATTCATGACAGTAACATCAAAAATAATAACAGTAGCTAAGAAAGAGAAAGAAACCACAAACAATATTTAAAACTCATTAACAACAAGTTCAGCTATAAGAAAAAACAAAAGCCTAAAACCTCAGAGCAAGACAACCATATATTCAAAAATCCAATAACACAATATACCCAGACAAAGTTTTTATAGATTTGAAAGAGATGTTGGGAAACTCAATACATGAAAAATTGACTTTATTCATAGTAAGCTGAGGCATTTGTTAATCTTGAAGCATGTATGCACAGAGGAACCAACAGGCTCACAAATGGTTACAGTATTATTTAACAATTACTACAAGACTATATCAGTATGCAATATTAAGATCACTAATAATAAAACTATCAAATTTATAATAGTACCACAGATCAGCACACTTAAAAATAGAGCCTGATTCATTAGAATCTGAGGTATCCCTAACCATTTCACAAAAAGGGACATAGCCAGTTTATTTGTGGACAAAATAGTTATAGAGTATATTTTATTTCAACCAGCTGATATGGTTCAATCAAAAATCATATAATTGAATTTAACAAAAGTATTCAAAGAGTAGGTCACGCAGGTGCCTTTTACAAAGACAACTACTGTATAAGAGTATATCCAATAGTCAAGACTCAGATCACAAAGAAAAAAAAAATCAATACCATGTAACACTGACCAATCTTCTACAAGGGACATTAGCAAAAAAGTTGAAAGAAATTATTGAACAGATACATATCCAGACATATTACTTTCTCCTAAATCAACTTAAACAAAACAAATACTTTATTATTTTATATTTCAAAGACATATAGTATGAGATCTGAATAAGACAAGAAATACCTTACTGCAATTGGAAGACACAGAACTTATGTGGGTCACAAGATCAATTAAACTTTGCTATAGATATGAGACACAGGAACATGACTTCAATACATGCACTATAGTAAAGAAGGATTTAACACAAAGAGATAAAATTAATAGACTTGTCCAACCAAGACTTCTCCCTCTCCAAAGAAAAGGCTTCCAACTGATAAGAAAGGGTAAAAGGTCCAATATGGATTACATATCCAATACAAATCACATATATACCAGTTAGTGATCACAATGGATCAAATTGGATCAGATTTTAACTAGATTAGATCTGATTTGGTTTTTATAAATATGAATCAGATATGGATCCGATTTATTTCAAACTGATCTGATTTGATTCAAAACTATAATAGTTTGATCTTATCTGATTCGAATCTGAATTTGATTTGATTCGATCCAATTCGAATCCGAATTTGATTTGATTTGATCTGATCCAAATCTAAATCCAATTTAGATTCAATGCAAAAACAATTTGAAATCAATTTGATGTATTTTGAATTAGTTTTAAAGCATGTTCAACTATAACTGCTTTGATTTAACTAAATTAAATTAAATATGTTTAAATTAACCTGACTTTATTTTAATAAAAAAAATTTTAACTAATATATTTTCTTTCAGAAATATTTTTTGACTGTATCTCATTTTTACCATTACTATATTTGCCATTATCATTATCGCTATCTGCCCATTCCTTTCTTTTTTTCAATTTTCATAAATAGAATTGATAAGAATTAGTAATATAAACCAAACTTGGATTTTGTTAAATTGAATATACCTATATTATTTTCACTATATTTGTTATCATTATTGTTGCTATCTGACTGCCCTTTCTCTTTTCTCAATTCATCTATTTTAGCAAATAGAATTAACAAAGTAACATAAGTCAAACTCAGATTGTATTAAATTGAATGTACCTATATTATCTTCACTATATTCATTATCACGGTTGCTACCCACCCGCCCTTTCACTTTTCTTGATTCACCTATTTTAACAAATAGAATTAGTTAAGTAACATAAGTTGAACTTGGATTGTGTTAAATTGAATATACTGTAGATCTTATGTATTCATCTGACAAAAATGTGATTTTCTTCCATAAAGTCATATGTCAATTGCCAAAACGTGACTAATAAACTATAGATATTTTGATCTGAAGAACATCTTTTTTTATTTGCTTAAAAATGATTGTAAACTTGGATTTCTCGTCAAACATCGATTTTGACCTCCGGCCATGAAATACTAATGAAGATCTCTCTCCTGAGTCACATGACATAAGAAGAATTCTAACTCTATATTTCTCTGCTTTAGTTCTTATTCATTTGCTTAATTTAGGAGAAGAGGAATTGAGCAGGTTGACAGTACCTATATTGTCTTCATTATATTTATCATCATCGCTGTTGCTATCCATGCATCTTTTCACTTTTCTTGATTCATCTATTTTAGCAAATATAATTAGCTAAGTAATATAAGCCAAACTCAGATTGTGTTAAATTGAATGTACCTATATTGTTCTTGCTATATTTGTCATTATTGCTGTTGTTATCCACCCACCCTTTTCCTTTTTTCGATTCACCTATTTTTCTACTCAATTGCTTTTTCGATTCACATATTTTAAAGGATATAATTAATGAAGAAACAAAAGCTGATCTCGAATTGTGTTAAATATACATATGCACATACATGTATCCAGTTGAATAGACTCATTGATTCAGTCCTATATATTAAGTCTAAAAATTGATTTGTTAGTATAACTTTTTAAAAAAATTATTAACATGTGATTTTTTTTTTACTGATGTGTTTGATTAATTATATTAATTTATTTATGCTTGAGCCAACTTCCGTTATAAGAATTACAAATAATATTAGTTCATATCATATTCGATTGATAATTACAAATTAAAAAAAAAACATATACTCAATTCTTCATATTTCACTTTCAGATTTTTATTATTTGTGCTTATATTATCACTTATCTCAAGAATGGTATCTAGCTTTTTTAAATTTCTTCCCTTCTAATATCTGTGGCAGAAATAGCAAATATGAATTGTTTTCGAACACTATCGGTGTACATAACTTCTATCCTATTATTAATAAATTTGATTTTATAAATATGTTGATCAAAATTATAAAGAAATACAAGATATAATGATTATATCAAATTATTATCAGCTAAAAAAAATTAAAGTTATTTATTATTAAATTTAAATATTTAGGAAA